GACGTTCGCGCAGAGTCCGACGTGCTCTATTTCGACGGCGACGATGCCATCTCGTACCGCTTCCCGCGAGGGGTCAGCCAGAGCCTGTGGGACGTGTTCGCGTTCAGCTTCAAGACCGAGGAGAAGGACGGGCTCCTGCTGCACGCGGAGGGCGCCCAGGGCGACTACGTGACACTCGAGCTACAGGGGGCGCACTTGCTACTGCACATGAGCCTGGGTGAGCGACCTTGGGGGGAACTCGAGAGCGCGGCTGCTGCGCCGCTCGCCGCACCTCCTCCGCGAAGCCGCGCCCACGCCTGACGTCCCCTCTCCCGTTCGGACCAACCCGCCTTTTTCGTGTAGAATTTAGTGCTAGCAGAACTCTGGACCCCGGGTTAGCAGAACTGGATTCCAGCCTCAGCTCTACCCGCTGCTGGCTGCTAGCGGTGTGACCTCGGACGAGGCACACCCCAATCCCAGTCTCCTCAATGTAAAAACATCACACACACACACACACACACACACACACACACACACACGAAAAAGTATTTTTGTGTCTAATTAGTTTTTTATAACATCCACATGATGAAGTAGAAGCAGCTATTGTGCCCCAAGTTTTACTGATAGAAGTTCAAAGAGGTTAAATGACTTGCCCTAAGTTACATCCTTGCCAATGACCGCTGCTCCATCCCAGGTCTCGGTGGTCCCATCTCTATGCCCACCCTCCCTGGCTGCTGCTTCCTAGGGGCTAGGGCTCACTGGGGTTCTCCGGGTCCAAGGTCTGACCTAGCCCCACCCTATCCTCAGGCAGCAGCCCCATCCAACCACGGCCGGGACACACCACGGTGAGCGCTGGTGGGGTCCTCAATGACCAGCACTGGCACTATGTGCGTGTGGACCGATATGGCCGCCAAGCAAACCTCACCCTGGACGGCTATGTGCAGCGTTTCATTCTCAATGGCGACTTTGAGAGGCTGAACCTGGACAATGAGGTGAGCAGAGCGGAAGGAGTCATTTGGTTGAGGGGGGTGCTGGCTGGGTGGGTGGGGGACAGCAGTTCCCTCCACCAAAGGTCAAACCTTGCTTCCTGGTGCCACCCGAGAACCATTGAGATGGGATTTGGACATCTGGATTTTGAGGATTAGGCAAGATGAGAAAATTGCCCCCTGGGATTGCCCAGCTGTGCGGGATTAAAGACCCTGGCCTCCGTCTGCACAGAAAGAATCCCAGAAAGTTTTATTGACTTACTCAAGGGCATGCAGCCACTTTGTGGTGGAGTTAGGACTAGAACCCAAACCTCAGGAGGCTCAGCGAGCTTCCAGCTTTAACACCGACATTGGGGAAATGTGTGTTTCAAGCCTTTTATAAAAAAGCTGCATGGTGGGAGCTCCAGGGAGGTGCATGCGCTCCGGCACCCAGGGAACCTCACCCTCATTCCCTACTCCGCCTGCCCGCCCGCAGATGTTCATTGGAGGTCTGGTGGGCGCACAGAAAAACCTTGCCTATCGGCATAATTTCCGTGGCTGCATGGAAAATGTAATCTTCAACCGAGTCAACATCGCGGACCTGGCTGTGCGGCGCCATTCGGGGATCACCTTCGAGGCCAGTGGGCTGGGGATCTGGGAGGATGGGACATCAGAGCCACTTGGAAAGCCAAGAAGTGGAGCGGGAAGAGATCTTGACAATCAGATACAGGCTCAGGACCACTCCCTCCCCAACTAGATGCTGAAAGTGGGGGGCATGGTGAAATTACAGGAGGTGCAAAGTCCACCCCTCTACCCCAGTTAAGAAGCGGCAGTAGAGCCATGGGAAATCCCCTCTGGACATTGGCAGGAAGGAGGGGTCGCCCTGAAGATGTTGTAGATCAGTGATAGCAAGAGAGCCGAGGCCCCCTGTACAGCTGGACCTGTCTCTAGGAGGGTGGAAATGTCAGGGTTGAAGGTCTTCCCCCGTCGCCCCCACACTGAGGGAGTGCTGTGACAAAGATCTTAGACCAGTACGAAAATGGGATTCCCAGAGAGGCCGGGTGGAAACTCGAGGCCACTGATGGGTCCTTGCTTTCGCCTCCAGGGTAAGGTGGCCTTTCGCTGCCTGGACCCGGTTCCTCACCCGGTCAACTTCGGAGGTCCTCACAACTTCCTGCAAGTGCCTGGGTTCCCTCGGCGTGGCCGCCTTGCAGTCTCCTTTCGCTTCCGCACCTGGGACCTCACGGGACTGCTACTTTACTCCAGCCTGGGGGACGGACTGGGCCACGTGGAGCTGATGCTCAGTGAAGGGCAGGTCAACGTGTCCATTGCACAGACCGGCCGAAAGAAGCTTCAGTTCGCTGCTGGTGAGGGATGGGTTGGGGGCGGGGCCTGGATTGAAGGGTGGACAGGGGCCAGAGAGATAGGTAGGAGGCCAGAGAGGGCAGAGGAGAGCAGGGGTGATTGTAGGCTTGGACTGAGGGGAGCAGAGCAGGAGGTCCCAGGCCCCTGGGAAAAGGTGGGAGTGGATGAGAGGCAGCTGGGGCTGGGGGCAGATCTGAGGAGCTACGGGTGCTAGGAGAAGCAGGAAGCCTGAGAGTCCTGGTATTCTCCAGTTCCAGAGGGGGTCTCTGGAGGTGTTTGTTATTCATTTATAACTTTGCAGACTGTATAAGCTGCTGGCATTATGGATAGTGAAGAGAGACTTTCAGAGATGTCACCACCCAGTGTGATAAGTGTAACAATGGGAGGAGGAACATCGTCCACTATTGGGACACAGAGTGGGGGTGCTGCTTCCACAGGAAAGACAGATTGCTCCTAGGGCCTGGTGCGTTCCCCACCCACAGCATCCTCCTTTCCTGTCCAGGGTACCGCCTGAACGATGGCTTTTGGCACGAGGTGAATTTCGCGGCACAGGAAAACCATGCAGTCATCAGCA